ACGATCGTCGATCTCAACGCCGAGGCAAGCGTAAACATATTTATCCGTGAACTCCATTGACTGACAGGTGAAAATCAATATCCAGTCAATACTTTACGCACTTCATAAATCGGACAGATTGAAATCGCGTCATATGCGACGCGCAGAAGTCTTTTGAAAAGGATCGACGCCTGGAGTGAGTTTTAATATCGCGCCGGGGCACGGATTTGTAGCCGGCTCCACGTTGCTTCTATGCCCAATACAACTAATGCCGTTTCATCGAGTCACATCGGTTATTCAGAGCGAGCCAAGTCTCGCGGCTGAATGAAATACTGGGCTGTACAGGTGTGCGCCCTATCAAAATTCGGCATTCAGCCTGATTCCAAGGAACGGCTTCGGTCCGCTTCGCTCAATGACGTCAAAAATATTCAACGTCTAGACCAGAGGTTCGCAAACTTATTTAGCCTATCACCCGCTTTTCAGGAGAATTACTCGGCCTCTTTCTGGAGATCCACCTTCTTTAATACTACCTTTACGGATGTATATTGTACAGTCTACTTTAATCTTCGTAGAAAATGTTCATTCATTTAAGCATTAAATTAGAGGTTCCAAAATATAAATTGTATCAATCGAAAGTTTAGTATATAAAATTCAGTATCCAGTAAATTGACGGGTTCTGTGAATCTAGTATCAAAGGAATGTTAAATATTCAATCTAATCTATGTATTCTAATGTCTAGTATCAATAGCTAGAATTCACCCTTTGCTTAAATAATTGCAAAAAGGAAACTACATACTGATTTCTTGCTGTTCGAGTAATTAAATCATCTGTTTGCACATCAGCGTTCCAAATATGAAACTTTCATCTCGCCGAAATGTCGACATTCGTCCGCAAAGAGTTAAAGTTAACGTACAAAAAACATAGGACCCCTAAGATACACTAAGATGGTTACTGAAGATTTAATCGAGCAAACAAAGAAATGCTGCTACTTCGTTCCTGCTCATTAGGGGTGGTATCGCTTATTTTGGGAACCACTGGTTCAGACCAGTTGCAGCTTACACTGCTCACAGTATGTACATTACGAGGGTCGCCGCGATGGCCGCGAACTTCACCGTGAAAGCAATTTCGCAGGTGGGAGCCTTCATTACAAGCCAGTCGATTCGAGGAACCTTAGCGTCCATGCCGAACACTCGGCTTCAAAACACGCCGTACCACGACTGGGTTTCATGGGACATATTGTTAAATCGTTTAGTTATCATAAAGTTCCTTAGCAATTAACCCTTTGCACTCGATAGGTGACTCTCAATTACTTGATTTAATTCAGTCAAACGATAAATTTGAATACCGAATATTAAACACTCGAGAGGCGCCTTTCACTCGCAATTTGATTTAAGCCAAGGAAATTATAAAATTTAAAATTCAATATTAAATTTTCTATAATCTACCAACACATGGATCATCGAAACAAAATAGTTTCGTCGCTTAATTTATGCAAGGTATTGTTTTATATTAATTGTAAAAAATACCATCGATACTTCATCAGAAAATAAAGAATATTTGTTGCGAAAAATATTCTCGAGTGCAAACGGTTAATATTCAATATAACTTTATAAAATATTCACCAGAAATATTCATCCCAAATGTACATTTTCCAAAACCAACTTACCGAGGAGTCACACGTGAATTAAGCAAGAAAGTTATTTTATTTCAATATTTGTACCGATGCATCGTGCGAAGTTCACCATTAAACCTCATGACTTTCCTGCGGCAAATCATGTCGCGACTGCAGGTCACCGTCGAGTGCAGAGGTTAATACACGCCGTCGAAATTGTATTCCACTTTCCCGACGTCGCGCGTGCGTTCTTCCCGAGCGTTTTCCTTTCGAACCCGATTTCGCGGCGTTAACGCGCCTCGAGTATATCCCCCCGCGGTCGAGGATGCTTTCATTCGATTTATGAAGCAAAAATACTTGCCACGTAACGACCGTTTCGTCGAGAGCGGTTCTTTTCAGGCGGCCGGGGGAAGCCGGCCGCGGCAGAAGCGGGAAAATCCTTTCGTTCCCGGATTTACGGAGTGAAAATCGTGCCGCGAACAATTCCCGACTTCGCGGGGCTCCGTTACACGGGGGCGAAGGGACTCCCCTTGTTTTCGTTGAAATCGAAAATCGATATTCCACACGGACCGCGCCTGCTGTTCCCTGGGATCGGGAGTTAAGGGTGGCGGGAAATGTTAATCTCGATAATGAGCTTGCTTGAGTTTTGCCACGGAGTCCCTTTGAATCAAGTGCCATTTAATACGGGGGATTCGTAGGTAAACAGAGATTTCTTTCGTTGACTCTTTCATGAACTCCATATGCACTGTATTCGTAATCCTTCGGTTGGGTTTGCAGTGTCGTTTGGGGTAAACTTTGTCACAGTTTTATCGAACAATCTCCAATTAAGTTTTTAATGAAGCTAGACAGTTAATGCTCTCCTTTATCTAACAAGAATATTTACTGTAAAGTCCGATCTCACATATATTTACTTTAACATATCATTTCATATCTCCATTGAATAATTATTGAAGAATTACGATGTACCAGTTCCTTTCAGAAAACTGCGCCATCTCTCCTCAACATACATTAGTACTAAATTTCTACGTTGCTATTATTCTTATCAAGTTCAAACGTACAACTAAAAATTCTTAAGAAATACCTAC